CCGGTAAAGGTGCGAATAAGGTCTGGTACTCCTTTAACAAGGCCAAAAGATTACCATCACCTGTTGTGTCTTCGCCCTCCTGATAATGCAAATTGTTAAATTCCAATAAGTAGCCTTGTCCTTTGTACTGCAACATTTTCAGTATCTTCTTTAGTGACAACTTTGTTCTACTCAGAAAGGGATCCCCAACCAGAACTACTACGCTTCCGAACTGGTTGAATTTCATCACGGATTTTTTTCCAATTCGTGGTAATCTCTCCCAAAGTTTCCAGCCATGCAACACTTAGAATAACATCAGCATTGGTCATATCGAAGAGGTAGAAATTCTGGAACACTGAAATATTTTGCAATTGCAGCTTCACCTTGCGATACTCCCCCTGACAACTTACTCTGTAACCATCCCCTACCCTGACTCCATAAGGTTTGGTTGAAGCTATCGGAAGTCCTAGCTCTTCAACTACCTATCGATTGATAAAATTGTGAGATGCATCGTTGTCAATTAAAACCACTACACTCTTCCTTGTGATCTCTCCTTTTAGCTTCAAAGTTTTGGGTCCACTTATGCCCTCCACCGAACTGATGGAAAACTCCAAGGTTCTTGATATTTCTTCCTCTCCATTGGGTTCCTCTGCAGACAAACTCATTTATTTCTGAGTCCTTATCCTCCATCAACAATACTTGCACTTGCTTATCCCCACATCGATGACCCGGTGAGTACTTCGCATCACAACGGTAGCACAAGCCCTTCTCTCTCTTTCTTTGGATCTCAGCTTCAATCATTTGCCGGAAAGGAAAATCTCATCGGAATGGGCTTGGTCGGAAGTTGATTGACGAGGATGAGTTGGGGTTGGAGTAAGTCTTGTTTTGGTTACGTCGTGTAAATGGTTTTGGAGCTGAGTGGGAAGTGGAATATTGGGTTGGGTCAATTGGGTGTTGGGTTCTTCAGGTCGGGCTGACTAGGCATAAGTCTGTGGCCCAAAAGCAACTTAGGTCCACTTATTTGAGCAAGCAGGCCTAAGTTTGGCCTTTTCCACAGTCCGATTTCGCTTCTCCACTCTTTGGGCCAATTATGTCACACTAACAAGTGAGTTGGGCCGTGTTATAAGGTTGGGTTGCTGAAGCTTTATTTTAGCTTTCACCTTAAGCTTGAGCCCATTCAAGAAGGTAGCAGTGAGCACTTCCTCCTTTTCACCGGCCATTAACGCCGCCACTTCTTCAAACTTGCGATGATATTTCAATACTATTCCTGTTTACTTAGTGGCCATCAGTAGCTTTAAGGGACTCACCTCTTGTGTTCCATTGAATCTTTGGGAAAGGGCTATTTTGAACTCCTGCCAGTTATTTACCATCAATCTGGTTTCCAGCCATTGGTACCAATGGAGGGCTTCTCCCTCCATGTAAAGCGCGGTTGCCACCACCCAGTGCTCTTCAGCGATCTGATTGAAAGTGAAGTAGCGTTCTACCTTAAATATCCACTCGTACGGGTCTTCACCAGAAAAAAATAGGCAACTCCAGTTTCCGGCCCTTCCAGTCACGTCTAAACCATCCTTCACCACCTTGGTTCCATTCCTCTCCTGATGGGTTACCTCGCTGGTTCTCATGCATTCTGTCTTCAGTGTGTCCCCCTCCATTAGCTCTTCCCTGATTTCCGAGATTCTCGTGGGGTTCGTGTTCAGTGTGTTCTACCCTTCCACGACTCGAATTTCCACCTAAATTTCTTCTTCGTTCCTCTTCTTCTTCATCCTTTTTACGCATCCAATTCTGCATATCCATTAAAATCTCCCTCATTGCGTTCACCATCTCGGTCACTTTGGCAACATCCTTCTCAACATTGTCTATTCTATTCTCCATCCTTGTACCAACCATACCCTGAATCCTTCTTGGCTCTGATACCATTTTGATGGAACCAGCTGAGAATATTCAGTCACTCCCACATTCAATCAATCACGACATTCCAAAATCAATCAAGGATCAGAATACAAACAAGGATCGACTCAATTGTAATGATACTTGTATTAATAATCTGTGACAAAACTACAATGAAAGTAAATGTAAATGCAAATAGTATTAAGAACAACAATAAAGAAATGAGCACAGGCTGATCTCAAGGGTCAGCTCCTCCCAACAAATTCCACAATATTCTCTCTGATATCACACCTATTCTCTCTCCTTTCCTTTTATTTCCTTGATTTCTTCGTTAACAAACTCTTCATGCTTGTTGTACCGCTTCTCCACCTGTCATGCGTGTCTTTTCCCTTTCTGTCCCTTGTGGTTATACCATTTGATTATCAGGGGTCCATCAGAAAACTGATTTGATCTCTTTGAACGAAAGGTTGGTTTCAAATTTAACCCTTCCAAAATTTCATTGCTGTAAAATAGCCATTTCACAAACAATATACTGGCCCTTAACAGGACACTGCATTCAGTGCCTGTGGTCTTTGAGATTTTGAGTGATTAGATTAACTCCATTAACGCCGACAGTGGATTTAAAAACACTGCTCTTCCTACATATGATTGCAAAGAAGTTATGAAAAATAAACCAAAACTTGGAATCTTGCAGGAGTTCCAGAATTCCCATCTTCTGAATTGTCATATTCTTTTATATTCTAAGTTACTTTTTCCCAATACTTTTTCTTGCATCTAAAGCATAAGCAATACATTTTGTGATATAAAATACACAAGTGTTGTGATTTGTAACAGTCTGCTTAAAACTTAATGTGACAGAAGATTTTCAAACTCTTTCTTGTCTTCATGTCCACTTCCGTAGAGATTTTGACAAGTTTTCATTTTGATATGGTTGCTGACCACCCAGACAGCAAAATATTACAGTTTATATTCCCAAAGAACTATGTTGCTTTCAGTAACAAAATTTACTAAATACTGAATAACTGTTTCAACTAATGGCTCAGAAATGGATCATTATTGTTCAATGAAATTTAAGTGGGATAAAGATTTAGTATAATTAAATTTCTTACACTTTACCGATTTAAGGTTCAAGACAGTTTTGTAGCATCTCCTGATGGACCTTGAAGAGATCTATGTGGCATTGCTGGGACCAGAGAGCAAGTGGAGCATGTGAATAATGTCAGGTGAGATTCAAAGTATCAACATTATTTTCTTCAAGATATTTTTGGACTAAAATATATTTCCATATTTAATTTGTCATTCTCTCATACTTTATTCTCATGGATGTCTTCAGTAACGTGAACACTAATCAGCAAAATGAAAGGGAAGGGAGATAATATCCCTCTCTTTTGCCTTACTTTTTCATATTTTACCTTGTATTAAATTAAATGCAATCAAACTTTGAACTTTTCAGTTATCTCTAGCTATCTCTTTCAGTAACCTTTTCTTCTTTGACCAGGGTTTAATATACCTTCTAAATCTTGCAAGTATCTCTGTATCCGAATTCTGAATCTCCCATTTCTATATCAAAAATCTTAGCTTAAGAATTCGCGGTCAAAGAATATTTGAATGATAAAAACCATTGAGTTACTAATGAAAGAGTAAGGCACAAGTATTGCTGAGCATTCTGTCACCTTGTGTAGGCTCATGTGCCAATATGTAGGCATGTGGGGTGGGGCGGGGAGGGATCTCATTCACCGTCCCGATACTCACTGTCAAAATCACTCTCCACCCCGCCTCGTCCCCGTTACGGGGATGACAGAACCCATGGGAAATTTTGGAGGTCTATCCCTGTCTCGTTAATTTTTATCTTTGCAGAGAGTTGAAGTTTGGCTGGATTGGAGAGATCAAATCGGCATCGGTGAACGGCAATATGAAGTCAGCTAAGGGCGAATGGCAATGGCGACAAGTTTAAGACTTAAGGGTTAGGGTTTGTTCTTGTTCAATTGTTTAGGTTTAGGGAAATTGGGAATATATGGGTTTATATAGATAGGATAATTGTGTAATTAGGTTAAATATATAGGGGTATTAGTGGAAAGTGCATATTATATAATTTTATATATTATATATGGGGCGGGGGAAGGGCAACCCTCACCCCTGCCCCATCCCCTGAGGACAGGGATTAAAAGTCCTTCCCTCCTTGCCTCTATCCCCAAAAAAACCGAGGAATCCCCGCCCCACACGGGGCGGGTTGGGACGGGATGGGGCCCCTGAATTTCAGGGCCCATTGCCATATTGGCAATATGTGTCTGATTCATTTGGTCATTTGGTGGCCTTTTTCCCAATTAGTTGATCCATGCAATGCTCTCTATGCTACTGTCCTGATTCTTGAAAAGACAGAACAATCATAAGAAACAGTCTATTTGGACAGATAGGATGAGGGGCCTTCAGCATAGATTGAAAAAAATCAGACAGCCTTTTATGAATCAGAAAAAACACTTCATTGAAGAGTCACACAGAGAACCCCAGTAGTGAATTTTGATGTCGGCATGTTGCATGCATGCTGCATTATGCTGACCTACACTGATCAATGAATTGCATTAATTAGTAATGTTCAATGTAACTCACTTTCAAAAACCACTAATGTTGGTACAGTTCCTCTGAAAAAGACTCAAGTTGAGGATTTTCCATTAGCTTGAGTTTCCTGTCCTACACTTAATATCAGAGCTGAATAATACCTTGAATCTCTATTTCAGAAGAAAAGTTTTGCCTCTAAATTGAAAATCCTTTGACAATAACTAGTTTAGGATTCACATTAAAGATGTTACTGAAGCAAAAGTTCAATCAAAATATTATGGTTCTGTCCAGTATAATTATCAATCCTTCTATTAGAAATCAGGGATTGGGCTGAAATAAAGATCCCTATGCCATGTGTGTGAACATAACTTATCAGTCTACAAATGGACTGTGATAATGATACCTATGCGAAATCTTTACTGCACAAGCATATCAACAGTGAATAATTTACGTGAGCTTAAATATGAATTCATACATCATTTACACAGACTAATCTGATTCTATTAGATAAAACTTCATGAGCAGATTAGTAGATTACAATTCATTCTTCATAAGCTCCTCCCAGAACAAACTGCCAGTTAGTTACTTCATTGAGAAGTAAAATGCTGATACTATGTCACATTCTTATATACATGAAAGAAGGAGGAACTTTCTTATACAAAGAGCTAAACAAGGGAGAACTGATATGTAGTATATCAATTCTTAAACCGCATAGAGTTTCTTATGCTCATTGTTCAGAAACTCTGAATCTGACATTATTGACAATGGTGATGACCTACTGTTCATTGATGACCTCCGCAGGCTTTGTGATCTGGAGGCTTGAATACAATTGACAATTACCCAATAACACATCGTCCCAATTGTTGATAGCATAATTATGGTCCCTATACATGTTATAGCGATAGCCCACCACCGATCATTAACTCCTACAACAATGTATGACAGTGCAAGGAATGCAATTGAAATCATGACACAAGCCAACCACATCAGTTTGTTAATGATCGCCATCATTTGCTTTTTTGCCTTTCTCTCTATAACCACCAAAGAAGTTTGAACAACCACGACAGCCAAAGATATGAAGAGGGCAAGAGAGTCAAAGATGACGAAAATCATAAACGGTGGCTTTGGAGCAATATTTGCTTCTCCAAGAGATAGCCCAGGAGGAACATGTGCTGGGTCATCAGCATACTGGCCCGGGACACTGAAGATGGCAGCAAATGCAACTGTAGCAATGAGGACAGCAACAACTGTGGTGGAGTTGATTGCATTGTTCAACCCTTCTGTATGCATTTTGTTGAGTCTCTTAGCAATACCCTGCACACGTTTCTGTGTTTGGTGGGTGTGCACAAGCTGGTCATACACCTCATGTTTTATTTCACTTACAGTTTGCTTGAATTCTCGAGCTGAGTTTGGTGTTGGTTGCTTGATGAATTTGGCAGACAGGACTCCATGGTCCCGTAATATGGCTCCAATTTCAGAGTGACCGGTTTTCTCAGCAGTGTCTAGAGCAGTTTCTCCAGATTTGTTAATGACAGCTTTGTCTAGTCCACTGTGATTCAGCAGCTTCCTTACAATCTACAAGAATAGCATCATTGCTTGTATCAGAACCTTTACCTCTATAGAATGGCATTAAAATCTATTAGCAATTTTAATTGTTGGTCACTTTGCCACAAACTTGTTCGGGTGACGTGGTAATCAAAATCCATTAGAAGTTTTGAAAGCAAGAGAAACGATGATGTAATTTATATTGCATCCTTTCAGGAAAATCAATTATGAGGTAAAAGCAACAACCAACCCCTCAAAGACTAAACAACATTTTAAATAAAAACAATAAGATCAGAAAGTGACTTCTTAGATACAAACTCACAATTAAAAATAAAATGATTGTAATTCTCTAGGTTTATGCCTATCTGCCACTAGAAGGCACTAGTCAGGATAAGATAGTATGACATATGATGATTCTCACATTCTCTTTAAAGATAGCATAAGTGCATCATCTAGGTTAAGTTGAAAATAAGTATGATTTTAATGATGATTAAAAACAAGAAATAATAGATTTTAGTCACCTGCACCCGGCCCTTACGAGTTGCTATATGCAAGGCAGTGTTGCCCTTGTTATCAACCATGTTTATTAAAGAAGGACCTATCTCCACCAACCCATCCACTAGTTCAACACTCTGTCCTTTAACTGCCATGTGGAGAGCTGTCTGGCCCTTCTTATCATTCCTCATTGCAATTCCAGGTTCTTTACTCAAAAGTGCCTTCACAATCTCCAGATGCCCTTTCCTTGCTGCAGAATGCAAGGCAGTTTTCCCATTGCTTTTAGCTATGGTAGCTATGCTACTACCTCTCTCCAGGAGGAAAATAACTACGTCTTTGTGGCCCTGTGAGGCAGCAGTGTGTAACGCTGTTGTGTTTGAGGAATCCGAAGTCATTGAAAGTTCAGGAATTGTCTCCATGAGGACCTTCAGCACCTCTGTAACATAGTATGAACAGATATTAGAATAGTCTGATTCCAAGAATGATCTGTCATTAAAAAATGATAATGTTATCGAGCAAGGAACATAAAAAAAGGGGGAAACTGGGAGACTACCAATAGCAGTCATGAAATATGGGGAAATTTTGCAATAATGATGGTCTGTGACTGTAAAGTAAAATTTTCCTACAGAAGTTACAATTAATTGATAACATCAGATGAATTTTATGCAATAACTTGAAGCTAACTGGCTATAAATTTGTACAAACTGGATATGATGTATTACTTACTATTATAACAAACTGTTTAGGAGAAAACATAATTCCCATTGAAAACTTACCCAAGTTCCCTTGCTTTGCAGCAATGTGGAATGCATCATAGCCATTCTTTGCTTTGCTGCCAGCCAAACCAATATCATGATACTTCATCATTTCCTTAACCAGATCAGCACAACCATACTCAGCAGCAACATAGAGTGTTGTTTCACCGGATTGATTCTGTTTAGACAACAACTCCTTCAACTCTAGATCCCCACTACTAGAAATCATTTCCAACACCAATTCCAAGCTCCCTGCTCTCACCAAAGCCTGCAACGGTGTGTCATCCCTTTTTGCCGTCAACTGTTTGGTCATCTTTTTCCGGCTAAAGCTTTGTTGTTGCCCCGAAGGAGGTTCCATTAATATCATTCCCAGGCAAAACAAATAAAGAATCTTATTTATTTTGTATCAGAATTTCAATTATCGATGATCAGCCAAGATCAGACCAAATTAGGAATTTGTAAATTGGAATAAGATAAGAGGATGCACGTGGGAAACTGGAGAGTTTGATTCCTTGATACAAAAATCATATCTCTGACATGTTCTGCAACCAAATTTTAGCATTAAATTAATACCCACTTGTCTTTCAATCAACCATTATTACTAGCATATTTCTATTTTCTATTTCAATCATCATTATCAACAATCACCAACATAGCCAAAAACTCAAAAAAAGAAAAAAAAGAAAAAAGAAAAAGAAAAGTAAACTAACGATAGGAACAGTTAAGTTTGAAACATACTGAACAAAAATTTGAAATCCTTGTAGTCAAATTCCACTTCTTTAAGGTAAAAAACTATTAAAATAAATACTAGTTACCTTCTTATCTGACTTTGGCTTTGAAAACCAGAGCTTTATGAGTCTCTGCGCGTTCAAGTAACCGAAGAAGAAGCAAGAGAGGATGATGTGGCATGAAACGCGTAAGTCTGTAGTTAAAGCACGCTTGTTGAGACTTAAAGTGGAGCAGAACCAGAGGCGTTTAAGTTATTGCTAGTGGGTTTTGTCTGTAGCGAGAAGGGAGTGACCAGTGAACTACACTTGTAAGAAAACGTGCAGTTTATCATTTCACTCTTCTTAAAACCCCACACGTTTATTAGAAGATGAGCCAATCCACTATTTTCACTCGGTTCTCACCATTTCACCACAAAAATATTGGCTGTGACCCAGAAATCCTGCAACTCTGTCTCAGGTCATTGGCAAGTCTAATGTTCCAGAACTGTATAGTGGATAGCGGCAGCAACCGTATTAAAGAGGTTTTAATTGTTTTTTATGTAGTGTTTTTGCCAAAGGCAAAGCCATTATTTTGTATCCAATATTTGGTTAAAAAATATTTAGTTTGGGGTTGTTAGTAGACGATGAAATTAAGGCAATGGGTGTTATTGGAAGAAGCAATCAAAGGTTGATGTGACACAGAGAGTAGGGCCGTTGACTGAAAGCCAAAATTTGGGTCAAGGTCGCCCACATTGGCTTCTCCCTTTTCATCCTCACGGACCTCACCCTCACATGTCTGCCTTTAACTTTAGCACAGGTGTCTTCGGTTTGACTCTTTGCGTTTTGTTTTGATATTGCTGCTGCTGCATGTGGAATAAATGCTGGCCGCGTGTACGTATGTACTTGCTTGTGCTTCACTCTTTGATTAGTGATCATCATCACAATTACAAAGACGTAAGCAATTAAGAAGTGGTGGCTGATGCCTGAAATCAAAGTGGGAACTTTTTATTTCTGCGCTAAACACGGAAAGGCCCAACAAATACAATTGCACAATCTCTCTCTCTGTTTCATGATGTGGACTGCTAAACTAATACATTTTTGCATTTTTATAGAGACTTTCTTGTTTAACCATTGGCCTGACATCCTGTTCACATTCACATATTGTTTGTAAAGCCTCAATTTTAATGAGATTTTATTAGCCTAAAAGGCACTACAGCTTTAAGAAGTCTGGATTCCATTGCCATCAGCTCTTTGTAAACCTTTTGGGAAGCCAATAAAACCGAATATGTTCAACGAGTAAACGACATTTTCCCACCCAAGGTTTGGCGAATCTATGAGTTTCCACCCTTGTTTTGATAAATTTAAGATCCTCACCATTAAATTAACAAAAAATTATTTAATCTAATGATTAAAAGAGTAAAATTGTCATTTCAAAAGATAAAATTTTTAAAATAACCCTTTACTTCTCAAATTCATCCCACCAGTGATTTTAAGTCATTATGGCTTGTTCCCAACGTAGTCAACCCCTCCCGACACCACCATTACAATCCCTTCAACCCCCACACCAAAACCCCTAACCTCTCTGCCTAATTGAACTCCCCAATCGCTAGTCATCGCTCTTAGTTTCAGTCGCGTGTTTCATCCAAATTTCGACAGGTCCCGACACCGAAAACCACCCTTTGACACCACCAATAGCATCATTGGCTTCCCCTCACCAAAACCCCCAATATCGCCGATCGCAATTGCTCGCCGATCGCCGTTGCCTCTCCCTTAGGTTTTCGGTTGTTGTCGTGCCTTTCCAGCCAAATTTCAGCACCTCGCCGAGGTGCACTCAGGTGGAAAAGTAAAGGTTTTGGGTGAGGAGGATAAGGGGATGCTGATGGTGGTATCAGAATCAGACCCGATTTTTGGCTTGTCGGGATCTCTTGTGGGGGTTATTTGAGAGAAATTTGAGATGTGAGGGTTATTTTGAGATAAAATGGACAGTGTCAATTTAAGGGTGGGACCTGGCAGATTTGCCAAACCTTGGGTGGGTACATGTCGTTTACTCTATGTTCAACCAGTATGTAAATCACAAATTGACATTGAAAAATTTTTGGTCACCTGTAAGAGGACCATAACCTATACTTAAAAATGTTGTGATAGCGTATCAATTCTAATTAAACCTAATGTGTGCATAACTTACAATAACCTGTTAGGAACCTAGGGTTCTAACAATAAAAACCAAGAAATTTAATGAAAATAAATTGATCTCTTCGAGAGGATCTTCCTCCAATTTGTCAAAGGAAATGCCTAACCCACAGGGCATTACTACCCTCTTAACAGAATATAGAAAGCAAATTAAAATATGAAAATATAAGAAAAAATAGGGATTCTAGCAAATAAGGGAAAATAGGAATCCTAGGCTATTAAGGGTTGTATCATAACCATGAGATATTTTCATATGGTGCCTGTGAAAATTCATGATTCATCCTCAGAAGACCAGAAAGGAAAAGAATCCATTCACTCAAAGAAAGCTTGAGATTTGTAAAGGCCACTTTTTGATTTTGATTCTTGCCTTCATACTAAGAAAAAAGAAACTCCTCACCAGTAAAGGCCAATTTGGTATACAGGTTCATTAAATGGCATAAATTGGGACTTCTGAATCAGTATCTAAGTGACGCCATGCATTCGATCTTTTCTTTTCTCTCTTCCTCACTTTTCGCTTCCGCTTTCTCTTCAATATGTGATAGATCAATGCAATTAGAACTCCTGCTATTATAACTCCTCCTATGCAAGTAACAAGAATTGCAGCCCACATGTTACGCTGACCAAGCACTATAAATGAAGCAGCTAAAAATGACACAGTAGTGCATACAGAAGCCAACCACATCAACTTATTGATCACCTTCACAACCTGCTTCTCTGACTTTAATTCTCCCCTCACAATTGTGATTTGTACCACCACAACAGACAATGAAGTGAAAAGTGCAATGGCATTAAAGATGAAGAAGATCTTAAATGACGCAGAGCCTACGCCCACAGCTGACCCATCATCCCTATCTCCACCAGGAAGTGTGAAAATAGCAGCAAATGCAACTGATGCAAAAAGCACAGCAACCACTGTGACCGAGTTAGTAGTGCTATACAATCCTAATCTATGGAGCCTGCGGAGATCTTGGGCAATTCCAGTTACATTCCTGTTGGTTTTGCGGGCTTGTTCGAGCTGTGAATGCACATCTTTCTTGATTGCTGTTACAGTTTTACGAAGCTCATCTCGTGGGAGCTGGTTTAATTCTTTTGCTCTCACGCCACCATAACGAGCTAAACAGTCCTTTATCTCAGCAGTTTCTTCAGAGAGTGGAAGCCCTTCAACTATGTCAATGGCTGTTCTTTTGTCCCTTGTTAGTACATTCACGTCAGTCTCAGGAAGTTGTATCAACTCATTCACTATCTGCAAAAGATAACAACGCTCTACATGATTTTGGCTCTTCAGAACATTCCATTATATGTTGTACACTGCTAGTATGATAAAAATTTCACTTACATATAAGATCATGAAGCTTAAATTGAAATCACATTCTTAAAGTAGTAGGAAGAGAAATTATACTATAAAGAAATAATCCTATCAAAGAATTTAACATGGCATTATACACTATTGACAGAGCAAAATAACTTAAAGTTCATGCAAATAACAGCAACTACATCTAATAATTTCCCTAAATTGTATTCCGGTATTTCATCAAATTTTACATGAAGCTATAGAAAAAGAGATGATTTTCTAACCATACAACTTCAAAATTATGATTCAAGGAACAATTATATTTTTGAAACCTTGGAAGAGATGTGAGCATCCAACTCAATTCTGAAGCATCTAATCAGAACTTCAGAAATCACTGTCCCATAACTGGGTTCAATCTGGTGAGTATGAGACCAGTGGAGGTAAACTGCTAAGGACTAAGATAGAGCCATAATAAACAACAGATCCCTAGTTTAGGAATTACAATATAAAATATACATGCTAATCCAGAAATGGTTAATGATAATAAAATTTCAAGTCTTAAGATTATAATTACCGCATCCAATTCTTTTGACATACTACAACTTGGTAAATCTAAAATCACATGCACACAGAACTTGTGCCACTAAAGCTCGAGGCTGAGCAAGCATAAACATCAATTTCTCAGAAACATTAACCAACTACCAAGCACACATAATTGTAAAAACTGACCTCATTCTTAATAAAGGAATATAACCAATTACAAAGGCTCAGCAGTGATTAATACCTCTACCCGCTTTTTCCTGGCAGCTATATGTAACGCTGTATTACCAAACTTATCTGGAAGCATGACAATGGTTGCATCTGCTGCAAGAATCAACCTCACGACTTCACGGTTAACACCTTTTACAGCCATATGCAATGCAGTCTGACTTTTCTTATCAGTCCTTCTTGCCAGTAGTAGATCCTTGTCGAGCAATGTTTTTACAATACCTATATGCCCCTGCCTGGCAGCTAAATGTAATGCATTCTTTCCGTTGGATTTAGGTATTTCTAACAAGCTAAGATCTCTGGAGAGCAATACATTTACTACTGCTGCATGTCCTTTAGTAGCTGCAGATATAAGTGGAGTCGCATTTGATTGGCCAACTGTTTTGATAAGGCTAGGATCATAGTCCAACAGCACCTGGACAATGGCTGCATAAAGATTGTTACTGAATTGAGGTTGCCCAGTTTAAATATATATTTTGTCCTAGCAACCAGAAAGCATACAAGAATTAAGACGCATTCATTCTAACAACAGCGATGGAATGGCAATAACTGACAATAGACCTTTTTGAAAGATATAGAAGGAAAATGCTTCAGAAGAGCCTGTGTAGCTTTTAAGATCAATGGGTACAGCCTCACATGTTATTTATAGTATTGTTTGCCATCATACTTCTCATCTACGGAGTAGTACTTAGGATTAATATTTTTTGTTTTCAACTATGTGTTGATGGTGTAAAATAAATCTTCAAAATTTCATCTTTGCAACTAAACTATCAAAATTCACGGCTATATTGACTGTTAATAATTGAACATCCTCTGCAAACAGCACATTCAAAGTGTTCCACCACAATTACAACTTTAATTACCTCCCTCTAACATGATAAATCAACAACAGAAATGTATAAACTCAGAATATATGCTTCATATCGTTGATATCAACATATGACCTTGCTAAGAAACACCATAAGGGTGAAGTTAAAAATATAAATCAAACCATTACCTTCATGCCCTTGACTGGCAGCAATATGCAACGGATCAAAGCCAGAGTGGTTCTTCAACAAAATAGCCTCCTCAGTTGTATACTGCAACAACTCCTTTACAACATCCAAATGCCCCTTTTCAGCTGCAATAAACAATGCCGTCTCTCCCAAGTCATTCACCTCATTCACAATAGCTGCCTTTATCTCCCCCACCTAACCAACATCACCTAATCAAAATTAGGATTAAAATTTCTCAACAAATTGAAACAGTAATTAAAAGATTAATGAAAAGCTTACCTCAGCATCAAAATCAGCCTCACCAAACGTCCCCATCATTTGTGCATCAATTTCATCCAAAATTTTCTTAACACCCTCCAAATCTCCACGCTGTGCAGCCAAATGCAGCTCGGTGTCGTTGTGGCGGCCTGTGACCTGTCTCACATACTTGGTTTTCTGATCAAATCGCTTACCGGAGTTCGACACAACCAAGGACTTACTTGATTGGGATGCCAACAAACGTTTACTTGAATTGGACACCAACAATGCCTTGCCAGAATTGGACATCACAAGGGCCCCTCTTGGCGTTGTCGATGCTCTTGGAGAATATGGAGAAGCTGGTAATTCTGAATGAACACGGCTAAGAGCCGGAAGACTTGGCCCTCTCTCCAAATCCCTCTCCTTGCCTTCATCATTCATATCTATTACAACTATAATTACATGACAAAATTCTTCTATAAGTGTTACGTTTTTATATTACGCAACAAATCTTATATATTCTATATTACTATTCATTACAATTTTCACATCTCACGTAACAAATCATGTAGAGTTTTATTACAAATTTTACGTTCTGGAATCTAAAATCCTGAAATTTTTACATGAACATTCAATATATTACAAAGGAGGATACCTTTTTCTTTGTCCTCGAACCCCATTTGAAGATGTTCAAAACGGGTTATATTTCTGCGTTTTCATGTTGATGGTTTTGTTGTGTTGAAGATGATGAGAAACAGAGAAATGAAAAGGGAATACCGCCGGGTGGGTTTAGCAATTTGCCACTGGGGCAGCCGATGTGTACTTCTCCAGGTTCTTTATTTGAATTGGAAAGACCGTTCCTCGTTAAATTTGGTATATTATGGTTCGTTATTTGCCACGTCATTATCAGCATAAGTTTTTAATATATATATTTCTTCACTTTTTTTTTTCTTTTTCTTTTTTTTTATGATTGGGTCTTTTTTTTTTATGATTGGAGTGTTACGTCAGCTTGCGCTCTTCAATTTTTCTTTTTCCGATCTGGGTGTTCGGGTCAGCTTACGTACCCTTCAACTAATCCTTAAAACCCATTGAACATCTTACAAGTCCAATGTTTCAGATCGAACACCCTACAAACCCAATATTCGAGGTAAGCCACAAATGTGGAAGGTGGCTCCAAGGTAGTTTGAACCGATGCTCATTAAACACCCTATAAACATAATGTTCTAAGAAAAGTCGACAGTGGGCCATGTCGGCCCATGGCACTATAAGGCACGACACGACAAAAGCACGACCCAGCCCAGTCCACAATCATGCAGGTTGTGTCGTGGGTCTTAAAAAAGGCACGTGGGCCAGCATGACATGACAAGATACAAAATAAAATAAAAAAATAAAAAAATGAAATAGTTGTTACCCCCCTACACAAGGGGGTAACGACTATTTCCATTCAAATTATTTTTTAATTTTTTCCTATAAATGCCCCATTATTTGTCTTATTTTTTCACACTCTAGTTCCAAATCTCCATTCTTCATTCTCCTTTCTCTCTCAACTCTCAAGCTCTCATAATCTCTCTCAAATTCTCCATTATTTTTTTTGTCAAATTTAATTTAATTTTTAGTCAAATTTCAAAATGAATCCAAATTCAAATGAATTTAATCATTTTGATTATTTTGATAATGAGTTTAGAAATTAATGAAAATGAAGATGTATGATGATTTTTAATTTATGAGTTTGTATTTGTAATTTATAATTATAAGTAATAAAAAGTGTTGAAATTCAATTAATATTTCAATGTCTCGTTATTTTATTATATTTTATAGTGATTATATATTTTTTTATGAAAATGAAGATGTATGATGATTTTTAATTTATGAGTTTGTATTTGTAATTTATAATTATAAGTAATAAAAAGTGTTGAAATTCAATTAATATTTCAATGTCTCGTTATTTTATTATATTTTATAGTGATTATATATTTTTTTAATTAATAATACACTACAAAATGTCACTAAATATAACATATAAACATTTTTATAATAATTACTAATAATAAATCAAAATTACCATAATTTACAAATATTAAAAAAAATTGTAGGTCGGCCCACAAAGCATGTGGGCTGACCCACAGCACATCTTGATTTATATCTAGCCGTGCTATGGGCCTTCAGATTTGGTGGGTCGATACGACACGACAATGTATGAATTTCTACGGGCCTTGGCACGGCACGGCATGACGAGCCTTGAATTTTTAGACACAGCACGACTTATGGCCAGTTCTAGTTTCAAGTAAGTCACAAATATTATAGGTGGCCCAAAGGTAATTCGAACTCAGAAAGTCAATGAAAGTAACAAACATTTTTTACCGCTAGACTAACCCCTTGGTTAAAATTCTTCAATTTTCGATCATTTACTTATAATAAATTGTTGACTTAGTAATTAATTAGTAACAATGTATGATACAAAGTAAAGAAAAAACAAAAGAGACTTGTTGGAATGGTAAAGCTTAGAGGTGGAACATTTGGGCTGGGTTAGGCGGGTCAACCCTAACCCGGCCCGTAACGAAGCGGGCTGAACTCTTGGCGGTCCGGGTTGACCCTAACCCGGCAGCAACCCCCGGGCGGGCCGGGTTGCAAGATGGCAACCCGCAACCCGGTGGGTTGCTGTTTTGTCTCTTTTGAAAGACCCGCCGGGTTGGCTGTTGTCAACCCGGCAGGTTGACTGTTATGGAATAACGGCCAACCCGTCGGGTTCGCTGTAAAAAAATAAAAATAAATAAAAAAATTATTTTATTTTTCAAATTACCCTTTTACCCTTGAAATATAGTCGCTTTATAACCATTGGAATAGTCTTTTTCGTCATTTTTCTTTCCCATTTTTCCTATAAATTTGCCCTAAACTCTCACATTTTTCTCACAACTCAAATTCTCTCATTCTCTCATATTCTCTAATCTCTAATCTCTCAATAATTCATTTATTCTCTTAATCTCTTTGTTATCAATTTGCTCGTATTTTAATTTTTATTAGTTTTTGCAATTTTAATTCATATTTCCAATTTTCCAAATTCCAATTTCCAAATTCTAATTCTGTTTCTTTAATTTTTATTTCTTCTACATCAATTTTTTTTTCAACTACAATAGATAGATATTTCTCTCCCATCAATTACAATGATGAAGGAAACTACTATCCTAGTCCTAATCCCGCTGATTTTACTAACATAAATGCAGGAAGAGATTCAAATAGTTCCACTTTCCCATTCTCAGAATCCGATACACCTTAAAATATGTCCCTGATTCCAACAGCTCCTGGTGGTTCTAGAAGTCGTTCTCATAATCGTCGTGCTTGTCCAACTTCATCTCAAGCTGAGGCAGGATCATCAACTACCGTCGAAAGCGAAGACAGACACACATCAGACGTTTCGGCCCATTTCGACAAGTTTTACTAGACAGAAAATGGCATTCAAGTCAAGAAAGCGAGATGCAAATACTATGGAAATATTTATAAAGTTGATTCAGGTAATGGTACTAGTAATTTAAAAAGGCATGCTAATAAACATATTAATCAACATAGAAATAGAGAAAGTAATCAAACTCAAATAACTAATATGGGTACTAATTGGCGTTATAATTCTGATGTATATAGGGAACAGTTAGCTTTATATATTGCTGCAACTGATCAACCTATTAATATGGCTGAAGATAAATATTTTGCAAGATTTATTCAAAATTCATTTTTTCCAGGATTTAAAAGTTATTCTAAAACTGCAACTAGAAATGATTTAATAAAATTGTTTTAAAAAATGAAATTAGAATTAAAAAATAAAATACATACTTGTCATGTTAGTGTGGCTCTAACTGCCGATATTTGGAGTGGTAGAGCTAAACAAGATTATATTTGTGTGACTAGTCATTATTTTGATAATGAATGTAAATTAAATAAATCTTTATTAGGATTTAGATTAATGGATGTTGATCATAGTGGTGAACAAATTTATAATAAAATTGTTGAAGTTTTAGAAGATTATGATGTTGTTAGTAAAGTGATAAGTTTAACTTTAGATAATGCAAGTTCTAATAGTAAAGCTATAGATTATTTTCAAAGTAATTATCCTTTATATAACAATTTGAAGTTTTTTCACCAACGTTGTGCATGCCATGTTATTAATTTAATTGTGAAAAGTGGTATGAAAACAATTAAAGAAAATATTAATAGAATTAGAGATTGTTTAGCTTGGATTACTAGTAGTAATAAAAGAAATGTTGAATTTCAAGACGCTTGTATAAAATCAAATATGTCTCCTAGAACTTTTGCATTAGACATGCCTGTTAGATGGAATAGTACTTATTTAATGCTTGATTCATGTTTACCTTATGCTAATATAATTAGTTATTTTGTAGCAAATAATAGAGGTCCTCATTATTTGGTAGAAAATGATTGGCAAATAGCTAAAGTATTTCATTCTTTTCTTAAAACTTTTTACCAATCCACTTTACAACTTTCTGGTGTGTATTATCCTACTAGTCCATTGGTAATACATACAATTATAAAAATTTTCGAGTTATTTATAAAAAATAAAGACAATGTAATTTTAAATGCACCAATAAAGGCAATGGAATTTTTTTTTTTTAAAAAAAATATTAGGAACCCATTCCTTTTATTTATTGTTTAGGTGCTATATTTGATCATAGAATTAAATTAGCAGGTTTAGAAAATGGTTTTGACAATTTATGTGAAAATTTACAAACCGAAGTATATGCCAATCAAATAGGAGAGGTAAAAAATACACTTTTCGAAGTATATTTCCAGTATGAAAACAGGTATGGGAACCCGCAAAGAGGCGAAACATCCAGGGAAGCTGCATCAGAAGAAACAAATGAAGACTTCTACTCTTGGGGTGCACTGAATAGGCCGAAGAGGACCCGAATCCGAAGCACAGCCTCCTCTTCAGAAGCTCCACCAACAACAACAACTAATGTACTGTCTTCCATGTAGTCGCAGAGTAATGAGCTTCAACAATATTTGGCAACCCCTGAAATGTTACCAGTAGATCCACAACAGAGAGCCAACATTGATCTCTTAGACTATTGGAGAGCCAGAAAATGTATTTTTCCGGTATTATCAAGACTTGCCTTGGATGTTTTCGCTATTCCTGTCTCAACCGTCTCATCCGAACAAACATTTAGTGCAAGTGGAAGAATTTTAAATGAAAGGAGGACTAAACTTTCACAAAAAATGATTGAAGTCCTCACATGTCTTCGAGATTGGGAACGGTCGCGCCATCAAGATCAATACGAGGTTGTCGACGATACTTTAATAGAATCATTTCAATTTTGTAATATAGATGATACGGATGAGGGAGGTCCTAGTGAACCCCAAAATTAGTTGTTTTGTAAATTGTAACTTGTAAATTAATTGTCAATTATTGCACTCTTTTTTCCTTACCAAGTTTTTGTCCCATTGGGTTTTTCTTGGTGAGGTTTTTAACGAGGCAATAATTATTGTAATTTCTTATTTTATTTTTTAATAAATGAATAAATTTAATTATTCTTATATTACAATTTTAATGTATTAAAATTGAATTAATATTTGGAATGTTAACAAAAAAAAAATTAATTTAATTTAATTATGGATATTTGAAAAGAAATTAACAATTAACTAAAAACAATTACATTTATTCATTTATAAATTGTTAATTATTCATTTGAAAGTTAATTAAACATTTAAACTTAAACAAAATTAAAAAATAAAATAAAAAGCAGGTTAACCCGGCCCAACCCGCGGCCTA